AGACCTGGGTCCCTGGCCGTAAGGAGCACTTACAGAATCCCAGAGGCCCTATAGCTTGAGGAAGAGAAGACTTGTACTGGGGAAAGAGCAGCGGTCTTCACATCCTTACGGGACCGTCCCAAGAAGGGGACATTAATGGGTGAGGTTACAGGAAAGCAGAACTTGGTTACAACTGAAGTTTTCTGAGGAATCTTTTTTGAGGTAGTGTGTTTTTTTTTTTGAGGTGGTATGTTTCCCACTTTGTAGGAATTTACACGAAGGCCAACCTGGCGATTTTGCAGGAGACGTCAAGTGGGAAGTTAAAACTTTCTTAGGTCCTGCTCATCTTCAGGTTCTGCAATTCAGTCTGAACAAACAGGATTCTGGTCTCCATCCCCTTTTCAACAACAACAACAATTATTAGGATATTTTCTTTACTTCTTTTATTGTTTCCCCTTAAGCACCTGTAGATACTGGGAAAGTATCTTAGTAAGTAAACACTATAAATCTTTGACACTTATGAAATACTCGGAAAAGGGAAGAATCCATAAAAAGTCCTTTGAAGGGAGAGGTTGGCTCTTGCGTTGGAGCAGCAGGCCTGTTCTGCCTCAGTGCCGAGCTGTCTCCGCCCTTGACCGCAGGAACAACCATGTGTCACTGCCCTCACCAGCAAGGATGTATTAGGTGGTCCTGCGTAAAGGCCCTGTATAAAGGCTCCAAGGAAGAGGCAAAGAGATGGAAAACAAGACTCTGGGTGGCATTATATAGCTGCAGAAAATAAGACCTTTACATGAAAGTGTCAGATGAGTGTTATAAGCAACATAGTTCAAGGAGGTGCGTCCTCTAAGGCTAGCTGTCCTTACCTATGAAGTGGGGCTAGCAATAGCCCTGCCACATGTGGCGAGTGTGAGGATCAACCAGGATGCTGTGCCAGCGCCCAGCCCACAGGAAGCACTCGGGGCTAGAGGCTGTGAGTTCTCAGGCGTCACAGATGAGGGTGCCTGGTGCTGGAAGAATGATGTTTCCACTGATAAATCTAGAAAGGCAAAGAGAGGAGTTAGTTGAGGTGGAGGGATGAGATTGGGAATAGAATCTCAATTCTTTCTTTACAGCAACAAGTCAGTTACTCTTTCTGTTGTACAGTGGGAAATCAATCCCCACAGTGAGCACATGCCAAGCAGCATATCTCAAATAAAAAGTTTGCTTCCACATCCCAAAGATCACTCAAATTCCAGATCCAACTCTAATTACAAAGAATAGCCGTGGGCTGGTCTGGATTTTCATTCAGACTGCTTCTTTTTCACTCAACAAACATTTATTAAGCACCACAAATGTTGCAGGCACCAGATTACTTGCTGGGACTATGACACCGTGAAAGGCATCCCCAGCCCCACCTTTCATAGAGCTGATGATGCCTATGGGGGGACGGGATGGACAGGCTCTCACGATGCAGCATGCTGAGTGCTCTGATCTAGGAAGTAGAGCCAAGAAGTGCTCCAACCCAGGGGGGCTCTCTGGAGAAAGTAACATAAACTGAGACCTAGAAGATGTCAGCCAGATGAAGCGGGGGTGAAGTCATAAATGGGGAGAAGGTCTGAGGGCAAGAACCTTCAAGAAACAGAAAGACATTCCCAAGGTTGGGGCTCGAATGGGAAAATGGGCCTGAAATGATGTAGAAAGGCAAGTAGGGGACAGAGAGCTGAGCCAGAGCTGCAGGGTTGAGGAGGCACGAGAGAGGGCACAGCCGGAGGAGTGGTGCTCAGGATGCAGACGACGGGATGCAGGAGGAGATGGATTTGGAGTTGGCGACCTCCGGTGTGTGCTCCAGAGATTGATGACTGGCGAGGAAATGTGTCGGTGGGAACGGGTGATTCTATAAAGAAACGTGGTTGTGAAGATGTGGGGCAGGTGGCCAGGGGTGGTTTTTGTTCTTGTTTTCAAGGCCTTGGAACGTCCTGGATTATGGGAAGGAGACAGCAGGGGGAAGGATTGGTAAGTGGCAGCATGATGTCCTCAGAAGGTAGGAAGGGTTGGGGTTCAAGGTGACCCTTGGGAAAAGGTCCCAAGAGCACGGGTAAGAATGCAGGCGGGACTATGGGCGGCGAGCACACAGTACAATATACAGATGACGTACTATAGAATTGTGCACTTGAAACTTATGTAATGTTATTAGCCAATGTGGCCCCAATAAATTTAATTTTCAAAAAGAATGCAGTGGGGTGCTGCCATGGCCTTAAGAATGGGGTTTCAGATTGAGTGTGAAGCAGAAGCAGAAAGGTTATCTGGGCGAAGAGGGGTGGGATGAGGTGAGTTTTGTAGAGCGCATAGGAGGTGGAATTAAACGGCGGGGAGAGGGAGGAGCATCAACCAGGTAAACGCAGGTGCGCCTGCGCTGCTGCTGTGAGCGCCCAGTTAAGGTTGGAGACTACGGTTTTGTAATGACATCAGTCTGAGCAACCTTGGGAGTGTCTGTCCCCCTAAGATTAGCCCTGCTTCCACCACCCGACTCCTGTGCTTAAATCCTCAACCCAGGAACGATCCTCAGCTTAGAGGAGGGTCAGGTGCCTCGACAAAACGGAGTGTTCTGGGACGAACTTCGTATGGTCTGTCCTCAGTGGAGACGCTGGAACATACTCCTTGCAGCGGCCTCTGGAATGATGGTGGCATCTTATTTTCAGAGGCAGTCAGGATCAGGCTCAACCTGGAGGAAGTTACTGGGGTTAGGCTGGAGAAAGACAGACAATGAGTTTATTTTTAAACCCAAGTGGGCACTACAGCTGCCAGAAAGAAGCAGACGGCTCTTGGGGGGAATAGAGATTGGCAGCTGGTCAGACACTTGTCAGGAAACCTGTAGGCTGCCAAGTGGGCAGGGGTTCAGGTGGCTGAAGGCCAGGACTGTGTCCAAGGGGTCGCCTGGGGGTGGGAGAAGCAGCAGTTAAAACTTCAGAGCCCAACCGAAGCAGGGCCGGAGAAGACGGTGGGCTCCAGGACAGAGCCCAGGGGCCCCGGCTGCCCCCAAGGCAGCACATAGCCAGTGAGTACACTGGACATCACTGTCCTTGGCCCTTCACCCAGGGAGTGAGGTAGGTTAGTGCAAAATACACTCCTGATTCAAAGACTTAGTGGAAAAAAACAAATCCCAGAAAACAAACAAAAAACCAATGTAACATCTGAATGATTATTTTATGTTGATTTTGGATATATTGGATTTTATAAAATGTATCGATATTAACTTTACCTGTTTCCTTTTGTAATGAGACTATTAGAAAAATTGACAAATACATATGTAGCTGGCATTTGTGAGCTGCATTCTGTTCTATTGGACAGCATGGGTCTAGACCCTGGGGTGAGCCATAAGAATGTATTGTCACCCCTTCAACTCAGCAAGTGGCCTTAGTGACCCCAGCAGCTCTCCACTGGGGCCGCCTTTAACTCATGGCATTGAGGGGGCGCACAGATCAGCTTGAACAAATAGGACGAGGGCTTGAAATCTGCACCTATGATCCACCCAGAAATCCTCACCAGGTGAGCTCTGGTTTAGGGAGAGACAGCCTGAGGTAGTGATCTTATCAAAGGATTTTCTACTTTTGAAAAAACGTACCTGTGTATACCTTGCAGTAGTAAGTGGCTTTTGCAGCAAATTTTAAAGTTCTGGTTCCATGCCACACACTTTAGGAAACTCTGCCTGTGACATGTTCTGAAGCCAAAGAGATTACCTGTTTGGACCAGAACTGATGCTCCATTCCAGCCTACAGAAGCTTCTGCCTGGGCAGATGGGAAGAGTGCAGGCATCAGAGGGCTGTCCTTCCTGCAGGTAACACCTGTGGCTCCAAAGTTCAGCCCGAGGCTGAGAGGCAGGTGTCAAGAGTGACAGCGCACTGACCTTCAAGAACCACAAGTGCTGAGCTTCGCCCTCTGCCATTTGCCTGCCAGAAGCCACACTTTTCACTATCGAAGGATCAGCTGTAAGACACCTCAGCCTGAGTTCGAAGGTCATGACAGACTGGGAACTGACAAGAGGTAAGCATGGGGGTGGAAGAGTTGAGAGGCAGAGGCAACAGAGAAAGTTGAAATAGAGTTTCCTGCCCAGAGCAGAGAGGGCATGCCTAGCCTTCAGGTCATAACCGATCCGTGTGAGTGATTCCACCTGGGCTGCCTCATCTTTCAGTGGAATGGGAAGAAGCTGACTTGCTGTGGGGAGACTGGAAGTAGATGTTCCCAATGTCCTAGGGGATTGAGATGCCAGAGCAGGGCACTGCCCTGCATCCTAGACTCTCTGCACGTGAACCGAGGTGGCCCTGTCCATTGGGGATGGGGCTATGATCCTGGAGCTTCCGGCTGTTCATTCTTCCGAGGCCCTTGCCCGCTGCTGCTATTTCTTGTTCCCAGTATCTTTCTATTCTTCCATTCCTTCATTCCCTGTCCCCGCCTCTCTCATTTATCTTTCCTCTGAGCTAGCAGAGCCACATACTCCCAGGCCCAAAGTGCTCTGGAGGGAAAGATAGGGATAATATCTGTCTGGCTCAAAGTGGACCTCCAACGGAGAGGAGCTCAGCATTGCTCAGTTCCTTCCTGCCCCGGGGGCAGCAGGAGGAAGCAGAGGTGGGAAAAGAACAATTCTCTGGGCTCCAGAGCATGGTGCCCTGGGGACCAGATTAACGGTTTTATTCAACTCTCTGGAATCTCTTGGGAGGTGAGGACCGGCTTCTCTGGCTTCAACCATAAAAGGGAAGTGAGTGTCCTGCCTTTTAAATGGATGCTTTCCAACTTGCCTCTCCTCTGCTCTGCTTTGTTGGGATTGCAGAGGAAGCGGAAGGGCCAGGCCCTCCACCCAGTCAGTGCCTATTTCCTGGAGGGGAATGGAACACCATGCCCAAAGCCCAGTCCTGGGTGCTCACTTCCTGCCTTCGGTGCCCCCATCATCACACTCCCTCAAGGGCCAGGGAGGACAGGGAAGGGTCCGCTAGTTACAGTGTTGTCATTTACAGAAAGGAGAGACACAGGCTGATATGAGCCCCCAGACGTGATCTTTAATTGATGTTCCTGTCCCTGCCTCCCCACCCCAAGCCCCAGATGACATATATACAGGATGCTGTATGGAGCCAGTTTCAGGCCCAGGCCAATGCAGCCTCCCATCGTCCCTGGGTGCTGCCAGGGTGGGGGCAGGAGGATGCAGACAGCTGGGAGCCAAGTGGACTGGTCACAAGAAGTCTTGAGTTCTTCACACCCCCACCCCCATGTGAGCACACACAGCCATGTCCATGTGTGCAGAGGTATTCACACTTGTGCAGAGATGTGGAGCCAAATGCTTGTGCCAGATGCATCGTCACGTGTACCACCAGAGGGCGCCATAAGGTATTGCAGCAATAGTGCAAAACCCAGCCCTTGCCCTCCTGCCCCAGCCCGTTTAGGGGGTCTGGTGGAGCAGGACTGGCCAGAGGAGTACTCCACCCATCCCCCTCACTTGGGCAGTGCCAGCTAGAGCTCAGTATTGAGGACCCTGCTTAGGCACAGACAGCCACCCAAAATGGTGTCAGTGGGCCTCAGTCCCGTTTGCCCTGAGGGGCGGGGCAGATAAACAGGGAGCCATCTCTTCCATGATTCCTCCTCAAAGATGCCCCAGAAACAGAGGGACTGAAACAGGCAGCTCAAAGGCCCCGGGATGCTCAGAAACCTCTGCTGAGTCTGGGCGAGGAATCCCTGGAAAGAGGGGCTCCATTCATTTGTGGCTTTCATCCATAGGTAGCTTGACTGCCACTTCGCTCCTGACAGCTGGTCTTCGGCAGCCAAGCTCCTCTGTCTCCAGCGAGGGTCATGAGGGAAGGCCATGGGCAGGACTGTGTGGAAGGACTGAGCAATTTTGCCCAGACTCAGCCTGTCTCTCAGGCTCGGCTGCAGTAGGGATCAGAGGATATAATGAGGACGACTGTAAACTTACTACTCGGCCCTGGAAGAGGGGTGAGGAGTGGAATGGGTTTGCCAGGGCCTTGAGGACTTTTCTAGAAGCTGAGGAGCATACAGGAGACTGGCCTTTTCCTACCTCCTCATGCACACCACAGGCAGAGCCCCCTAACCATCCAGGCACTGGGCCACCTCTGGCTTTCTCTACGTGGGAGAGTCCTCCCTGGGGAGATGGCCCAGCCCAAAAACTCTAGGCCATGCCAGGGGGCACCTAAACCCTGAGTCAGCCCCAGAATCACCCTGCTTGAAAGGGGGAAGGTGCCATTTTATTTCAGGGACTGTATTTTCTAGACCCCCGTATATATGCGTCCTGGCAGGACAGCAGGATAGTCATTTTAGAACTGAAGACAATCTGGGATGTGTGGTCGCCGTACCCATAACCTAGACTTGGGCACGGAACAGGCAGCTTTGGTTTGAATCAGCACTCAAACTTCTCTCCAAGCTCAGCAGGGCTGGGAGGAGGGAGCAAGCAAAGATGCCCAGCCTCTGCCTGGCTTGGGGACAGCTCTGTTCAGTGAGAGGACTCCAGGTGTGGTCATCCTGGGGGAGAGCCCAGGGGATGGCTGTGCCTCAGTTCCTCTGGTCACTCCCACAAATGTCAAAATATTCCTACAACTGCCCTGGCCCCAGCACCCCCCGAGTTACATTCATCAGTTAAGATTCATTAAAAACAAACAAACAAACAAACAAAAAACTGTAGATGTCAGCCCTCTCCCCCTAAGTCCCAGAGAGCTAAAACTCTGGTCCCAGCTGCCTGGTTTTGAGGAAGGGCCATCCCAGGCCATGCCCACTGGGGCATCCCTCTAGCCACCCTCCCCTCAGCTGAGCTGTGGCAATCTGTGATGATGGAAGCTACATTCACACAGGGAGAATTGGTGTGCAAGGCCAAAGCCGAATGAGGTGGGGTGGGTGACCATGAGGGAAATGCCCCAGGCCTGGTCCACCCTGGTGGTGTGAGGGCAGGGCCACAGGCCCCCACCCAAACCCCTGTGGGGCCAGGAGTTGAAAGGCTTGGACCCAGAAGACACTGCATGATGCCTCCCTCCGTGTCCGGGCGAGGGCAGCCTCGTGTTTCAGGGCGGAGACGTGGGTACCAGGCTCGGAGGGAGGGGGGGTGGCACTTAGGCCCCTCCGGACCTGGAACGGAGAGGGGGCATCAGGGGAGGATATGAAGCAGGGCCCAGAGAGAGAGAGTCCCCAAGCTGGGCCCTGGGAGGTCAGTGCAGGGCCCTGGAGGCTGCAAGTCACAGGCTGGCCAGGGAGGGTATCTGGCAGGAGGTTACACAGCGGTGACATGAAAGACAAAACAGATGAGATGCAGAGGTGGGCTCCCGTCCCATGGCACGGTGGCTCTGGGAGGCACCGCTCCAAGGTCCCGCTGGCCAGGGGTGGTCTGGCCATAGGAAGGGCAGGAGCAAATGGACCAAGGCCTGAGAAGATGTGTGGGCAAGGGGAAGTGGCAAGGGCAGGCTGAGGACTTTCATTCCGGAGCGGGGTTCTCCCACCCCTGTAGTGACGGCAGCGACAGCAGGGGTGGGGGAATCAGCGCTCGGCTTCCCATCAACAGAATGCGAGGTGACAAATGAGATGGAGACAGGGACGGTGGGAGGGATGACGTGGACGCTGTCACACTGCCCCCTGCTGGGTCGGGTCATACCTTCCTCTGCGGATGTTTCTTCAGGAGCCAAGGAGAGGACAGAGAAAGGAAAAGGAGCCATCTGTGACCTTCCCCTTCTCTCATGGAGGGGCCTTTGTCTCCCACAAAACCCCTTACCCCAGAGATGGGCCAGGGACCCTGGGGCCTAGACACTGAGGCCCAGGGAGAGATACCTGGGTTTGAGTCCTGACTCTGCAACTAACTCACTGTGTGACCCTGGGCCTCAGGTCCCTCCTTTGCACACTGAAGGGGTTAGACCAGCCCCAGGGCCCAGGCTGGGTGAGACCTAGGGAGGGAGACCGCAAGCCCTGCCTCGGGGAGCCCTGCTCAGCTCCTCTCTGTGGCTGTGCTGGATCACACTGAGGCACAGTGGGGCCCAATCTTCTCATTTTTCAAGAGAAGTTGGAAGTCAGCATTGTTAATGTAAAATCTCCGTTGTTTTTTTTTTTTTAAACATGAGCAACCAATTTTTTTAAATGTTAGAACAAGACCCTACGGACAGCTCGGACCACGATGGTTTAGCTAACCTCTCAGGGAGGCCCCCTCAGCTTCAACAGCCCGGGGTTCTGATAACCCCTGAGGACTCCAGGGGGCATAGGGGGCGTGTATGTCTCTTACTTAAATCCCCAGCCCGTGCCGCCCAGGACGATGGCTGCTACCAGGACAGCCCCGGCGATGGAGCCGATGATGATGTTGGTGCCACTGGGACCTGCGGAGGAGGGCAGGGCTCAGTTGGCTGGGACAGGCATGGAAAATGGGAAAGACAGAGCCCCACCCCGACTGGCACCAGCCTCACCCTTGTATCTCTCTGTCTCCCCAGTGGGTGGAGATGTGGGCAGAGGGTTGTGGATACTGCAGTCTTTGCCTGTCCAGTCCGGCTGACAGATGCACTTCCCCTCATTGCTGCAGACCTAGAGGTGAAGTGGGGCCAGTTGAGGTGAGCAGGGCCCTGTCTCCTCTTGTAAGCCCCTCCCAGCATCCCCGGTCTCCAGGCACCTACCCCATGGTGGGAGCAGACGCGGCGCTCCCCACTGCCTGGGCAGGTGCTGAAGTTGAAGGCAGAGGCTGGCAGGCAGCGATGATCCAGGCACAGCATGTTGGGCCCACAGGCAGTGCCGTCCTCTACATAGCTCAAGTCTGAGCCATCGGCCAACTGCACATGGCCACCCCTGGAGAAACGGCACAGCCAGCCTCTGCCCATGCCCCCCACCCCATTACAGCTGCAACCTTCCCTTCCCCAGCCACGGTCCCAGCCAACACCTGCAGTCCAGCTCCTTGCCCTGGTGGTAGAAAGTGACACTGCTGATGTCTCCCCCTAGGTCCCCCAGCCGAGGAGCTCCAGAGATGTTGACACAGAGGAGGAAGCCACAGAGCACGTCCCTGTTGGGGCAGTGTAGAGACAGTGAGCTCCAAGTCTGACCTCTGACCCAAGTACTGAACTCGAATCTGCTCTCTCCCCACATCCTGATTTTTCACAGATTCTCCCATCAGGACTCACAGGCACATCCTAGAAGAACCTCTGGCTCCATCTCAGAAAAAACCCTCCCAGCTCCAGAGCTGGCCGGGCCCAACCAGGAGCCTTAGCACTTACTGTTTATTGCACTGGATCCAGCCTGATCCCTTCCGCCCACAGTTCCCACGCTCAGTCCCTTCCACATTCAGCTTCTCATAGCAGAAGCGATCAGCAGCCACTGTGAGGAGACAGATGATGCCAGGTGTCAGCCAAGTCAGCCCAGAACCCACCCCAGGACCTCAGGCCTCCACTTCCAACACTCCAGGCAACCTCTGTTCTGGCTGGGTCCTCGAGAGCTTGGGGAGCCACACATTTGGTGGAGGGCATATTTAGCCAGAACCTGCCCTCACCCCAGCCTCCCGATTCTTGGTCCTCCAGAGTCCCCTCTCCCACCCCTAGCCAGACTCACCATGGCCCCAAAGGGCTTGGCACTGCCGGTCCCGGGTTTTGCAGCGACCTCCGTAGCAGCGGCCCTAGCGGACAAACAGGAGACAAGCGACTGACACACTGAATAGTCAGAGTGAAGACAACAGGCTGCTGAGCCAGAAGCCCTGAGAGGGCGGAGCCCCCACCCCGTCATACCTGTTCATGATCACAGTAGTAACCATCCAGCTTGTGCAGGTTAGGGGGACACTGTGGAGAGAGGGGCTGGACTAAGCAGAACGGCCCAGGACTGAGAGCTGAGGTTAGCCCCAGGGAAGAACGAAGGGGTGCCAAATGCCCCCCATGTGGGGGCTCAAGTTCAGGGCTCTTCCATGTTAAAGACAGGAGACCTGGATTGGAACTCAGACCACATAGGTTGGCGAGTCCTGTCAGCAGCTGGGTTCCTCCAGGTCCCGCCTCCTTCCCAGTTGCCCTGTTTCCTTCACCTGCTTCACGGAACTGGGAGAACTAAATGCCTAGCACGTAACAAGGATTTAAGAGATGTTACCTAATATTATCACCCACTCTGATCCCTAGCACACACTAGGCACTACGCCAGGCACCGGAAATATCAGCCAGACTATAAATACGGGTTTATGATTGAAGGAGCAAAGCCAGGGGGCATGAACAAAGCCCTGTCTCAGATGAGGAAACTGAGGCTGATCATCTGGCAGCGATGCCAGAAGCAGAGCAGAGAGGCATGGAGAACAGCTGTCGCTCGACATAGCCTAAATGATAAATATAAGGGTTGCTTCGCCCGGGGCTCCAAAGGGCGGCAGGGCTGGGCAGACCTGGCTCGAGTCCCCGGTGCAGGTCTCCGCGATGTCACACTCGTTCACGGCCTCTCGACAGGACACACCGCGCGGTTCGTACTGAGGAAGGGATGCGCTTCAGGACTCAGGCCGGGACCGCAAATCCCGCGCCCGCCCGCCTCCTAGGCCCCGCCCCCAAACGGTCCCGCCCCCACGGCCCCGCCCCTAGGCTCGTGCTCCCTTTGCCTCCCCGCTGCTCCCCCCCCGCCCCCGCC